GATGGAAAAGAAGTGACTTTTGAGTCGACTCAAAAGGGCTGAGAACCGGGGATGGGATGGAAAAGAAGTGACTTTTGAGTCGACTCAAAAGGGCTGAGAACCGGGGATGGGATGGAAAAGAAGTGACTTTTGAGTCGACTCAAAAGGGCTGAGAACCGGGGATGGGATGGAAAAGAAGTGACTTTTGAGTCGACTCAAAAGGGCTGAGAACCGGGGATGGGATGGAAAAGAAGTGACTTTTGAGTCGACTCAAAAGGGCTGAGAACCGGGGATGGGATGGAAAAGAAGTGACTTTTGAGTCGACTCAAAAGGGCTGAGAACCGGGGATGGGATGGAAAAGAAGTGACTTTTGAGTCGACTCAAAAGGGCTGAGAACCGGGGATGGGATGGAAAAGAAGTGACTTTTGAGTCGACTCAAAAGGGCTGAGAACCGGGGATGGGATGGAAAAGAAGTGACTTTTGAGTCGACTCAAAAGGGCTGAGAACCGGGGATGGGATGGAAAAGAAGTGACTTTTGAGTCGACTCAAAAGGGCTGAGAACCGGGGATGGGATGGAAAAGAAGTGACTTTTGAGTCGACTCAAAAGGGCTGAGAACCGGGGATGGGATGGAAAAGAAGTGACTTTTGAGTCGACTCAAAAGGGCTGAGAACCGGGGATGGGATGGAAAAGAAGTGACTTTTGAGTCGACTCAAAAGGGCTGAGAACCGGGGATGGGATGGAAAAGAAGTGACTTTTGAGTCGACTCAAAAGGGCTGAGAACCGGGGATGGGATGGAAAAGAAGTGACTTTTGAGTCGACTCAAAAGGGCTGAGAACCGGGGATGGGATGGAAAAGAAGTGACTTTTGAGTCGACTCAAAAGGGCTGAGAACCGGGGATGGGATGGAAAAGAAGTGACTTTTGAGTCGACTCAAAAGGGCTGAGAACCGGGGATGGGATGGAAAAGAAGTGACTTTTGAGTCGACTCAAAAGGGCTGAGAACCGGGGATGGGATGGAAAAGAAGTGACTTTTGAGTCGACTCAAAAGGGCTGAGAACCGGGGATGGGATGGAAAAGAAGTGACTTTTGAGTCGACTCAAAAGGGCTGAGAACCGGGGATGGGATGGAAAAGAAGTGACTTTTGAGTCGACTCAAAAGGGCTGAGAACCGGGGATGGGATGGAAAAGAAGTGACTTTTGAGTCGACTCAAAAGGGCTGAGAACCGGGGATGGGATGGAAAAGAAGTGACTTTTGAGTCGACTCAAAAGGGCTGAGAACCGGGGATGGGATGGAAAAGAAGTGACTTTTGAGTCGACTCAAAAGGGCTGAGAACCGGGGATGGGATGGAAAAGAAGTGACTTTTGAGTCGACTCAAAAGGGCTGAGAACCGGGGATGGGATGGAAAAGAAGTGACTTTTGAGTCGACTCAAAAGGGCTGAGAACCGGGGATGGGATGGAAAAGAAGTGACTTTTGAGTCGACTCAAAAGGGCTGAGAACCGGGGATGGGATGGAAAAGAAGTGACTTTTGAGTCGACTCAAAAGGGCTGAGAACCGGGGATGGGATGGAAAAGAAGTGACTTTTGAGTCGACTCAAAAGGGCTGAGAACCGGGGATGGGATGGAAAAGAAGTGACTTTTGAGTCGACTCAAAAGGGCTGAGAACCGGGGATGGGATGGAAAAGAAGTGACTTTTGAGTCGACTCAAAAGGGCTGAGAACCGGGGATGGGATGGAAAAGAAGTGACTTTTGAGTCGACTCAAAAGGGCTGAGAACCGGGGATGGGATGGAAAAGAAGTGACTTTTGAGTCGACTCAAAAGGGCTGAGAACCGGGGATGGGATGGAAAAGAAGTGACTTTTGAGTCGACTCAAAAGGGCTGAGAACCGGGGATGGGATGGAAAAGAAGTGACTTTTGAGTCGACTCAAAAGGGCTGAGAACCGGGGATGGGATGGAAAAGAAGTGACTTTTGAGTCGACTCAAAAGGGCTGAGAACCGGGGATGGGATGGAAAAGAAGTGACTTTTGAGTCGACTCAAAAGGGGAGGGGGGGTGGAAGAGTGACTTTTGAGTCGACTCAAAAGGGCTGAGAACCGGGGATGGGATGGAAAAGAAGTGACTTTTGAGTCGACTCAAAAGGGCTGAGAACCGGGAAGAAGGACTGAGGACTCAAAAGGGGAGGGGATGGGAAAAGAAGTGACTTTTGAGTCGACTCAAAAGGGCTGAGAACCGGGGATGGGATGGAAAAGAAGTGACTTTTGAGTCGACTCAAAAGGGCTGAGAACCGGGGATGGGATGGAAAAGAAGTGACTTTTGAGTCGACTCAAAAGGGCTGAGAACCGGGGATGGGATGGAAAAGAAGTGACTTTTGAGTCGACTCAAAAGGGCTGAGAACCGGGGATGGGATGGAAAAGAAGTGACTTTTGAGTCGACTCAAAAGGGCTGAGAACCGGGGATGGGATGGAAAAGAAGTGACTTTTGAGTCGACTCAAAAGGGCTGAGAACCGGGGATGGGATGGAAAAGAAGTGACTTTTGAGTCGACTCAAAAGGGCTGAGAACCGGGGATGGGATGGAAAAGAAGTGACTTTTGAGTCGACTCAAAAGGGCTGAGAACCGGGGATGGGATGGAAAAGAAGTGACTTTTGAGTCGACTCAAAAGGGCTGAGAACCGGGGATGGGATGGAAAAGAAGTGACTTTTGAGTCGACTCAAAAGGGCTGAGAACGGGGATGGGATGGAAAAGAAGTGACTTTTGAGTCGACTCAAAAGGGCTGAGAACGGGGATGGGATGGAAAGAAGTGATTTGAGTCGACCAAAAGGGGAGAAGGGATGGGATGGAAAGAAGTGACTTTTGAGTCGACTCAAAAGGGCTGAGAACCGGGGATGGGATGGAAAAGAAGTGACTTTTGAGTCGACTCAAAAGGGCTGAGAACCGGGGATGGGATGGAAAAGAAGTGACTTTTGAGTCGACTCAAAAGGGCTGAGAACCGGGGATGGGATGGAAAAGAAGTGACTTTTGAGTCGACTCAAAAGGGCTGAGACCGGGATGGGATGGAAAAGAAGTGACTTTTGAGTCGACTCAAAAGGGCTGAGAACCGGGATGGATGGAAAAGAAGTGACTTTTGAGTCGACTCAAAAGGGCTGAGAACCGGGGATGGGATGGAAAAGAAGTGACTTTTGAGTCGACTCAAAAGGGCTGAGAACCGGGGATGGGATGGAAAAGAAGTGACTTTTGAGTCGACTCAAAAGGGCTGAGAACCGGGGATGGGATGGAAAAGAAGTGACTTTTGAGTCGACTCAAAAGGGCTGAGAACCGGGGATGGGATGGAAAAGAAGTGACTTTTGAGTCGACTCAAAAGGGCTGAGAACCGGGGATGGGATGGAAAAGAAGTGACTTTTGAGTCGACTCAAAAGGGCTGAGAACCGGGGATGGGATGGAAAAGAAGTGACTTTTGAGTCGACTCAAAAGGGCTGAGAACCGGGGATGGGATGGAAAAGAAGTGACTTTTGAGTCGACTCAAAAGGGCTGAGAACCGGGGATGGAAAAGAAGTGACTGAGGATAAAGGCGAGAACCGGGATGGGATGGAAAGAAGTGACTTTTGAGTCGACTCAAAAGGGCTGAGAACCGGGGATGGGATGGAAAAGAAGTGACTTTTGAGTCGACTCAAAAGGGCTGAGAACCGGGGATGGGATGGAAAAGAAGTGACTTTTGAGTCGACTCAAAAGGGGCTGATGAGAACCGGGGGATGGGATGGAAAAGAAGTGACTTTTGAGTCGACTCAAAAGGGCTGAGAACCGGGGATGGGATGGAAAAGAAGTGACTTTTGAGTCGACTCAAAAGGGCTGAGAACCGGGGATGGGATGGAAAAGAAGTGACTTTTGAGTCGACTCAAAAGGGCTGAGAACCGGGGATGGGATGGAAAAGAAGTGACTTTTGAGTCGACTCAAAAGGGCTGAGAACCGGGGATGGGATGGAAAAGAAGTGACTTTTGAGTCGACTCAAAAGGGCTGAGAACCGGGGATGGGATGGAAAAGAAGTGACTTTTGAGTCGACTCAAAAGGGCTGAGAACCGGGGGATGGGATGGAAAAGAAGTGACTTTTGAGTCGACTCAAAAGGGCTGAGAACCGGGGATGGGATGGAAAAGAAGTGACTTTTGAGTCGACTCAAAAGGCTGAGAACCGGGGATGGGATGGAAAAGAAGTGACTTTTGAGTCGACTCAAAAGGGCTGAGAACCGGGGATGGGATGGAAAAGAAGTGACTTTTGAGTCGACTCAAAAGGGCTGAGAACCGGGGATGGGATGGAAAAGAAGTGACTTTTGAGTCGACTCAAAAGGGCTGAGAACCGGGGATGGGATGGAAAAGAAGTGACTTTTGAGTCGACTCAAAAGGGCTGAGAACCGGGGATGGGATGGAAAAGAAGTGACTTTTGAGTCGACTCAAAAGGGCTGAGAACCGGGGATGGGATGGAAAAGAAGTGACTTTTGAGTCGACTCAAAAGGGCTGAGAACCGGGGATGGGATGGAAAAGAAGTGACTTTTGAGTCGACTCAAAAGGGCTGAGAACCGGGGATGGGATGGAAAAGAAGATGAACTCAGCAGATTCGGAAATGAGCATATTTTATTCAGGCGTCTCTTACCAGATTCAACGGAAAGGCTGTTGATCAAGCAGTCAGCGCTGCCTCATGCTGCAAACTCGCAAACATGAGACGAGGTTCAAGTTCGAGCCTTCATTATCCATCCGGAAAGCAGCCGAATTTCACAACGAAATCGTCGGCAGCCAACACCTATCACCCGAATTTCACCTATCGTCGGCGACACCTATCACCGGATTGCACTGGAATGTAACAGCGACTTGACCAGCACGGGCTTACGCTCTGCAACGAATATCCGGTCCTGTCTCCGCTGCGACATGGCGGTACGCTGCGACATGGCGGTACGCTGCGACATGGTGATACGCTGCGCCACGGCGATATGCTGCGACATGCATGGCGATACGCTGCACGTACTTTCCCTAACGACTCACATTCTGCGAATTCGACCAGGTCCTGAAGCTGCTCCTCCACCGTCTCCTTTCGCGAAATGGCGATACGCTGCGACATGAGATAACGACACGCTGGTCGCAGAGCACGATCGGGAATCACGTTCGCCTCCATCGTACGCAGGCCTGCCTGCACTGCCAGGTCGTACGACTGTCGCAGAAGCGATCCCATGGTTGTCGCACTGGTGGCTTTCCGTTTCGCGATCTCAAGTCACAAACGACCGTTTGTTGTCGGAATAGTCGAGGGTTTCTGTGAAGGACCTCCTTACTGCTGGACCGCTGGAAGGAACTATAATGTTAATAGGAGCTACTGTGGGGATGAAGTACTGGCTGCGGGACAGACTAATTCCAAGGCGACCGCAACGAAATCAATGATCAGAATGTGGGGAGTGATCAGTGATGAGGCAGGGCAGCTTGACAAATTCCAAGGGAGCTCGACAAGATCGAGGAAACCAAGTTTGTTACTGTACAACTCCTAGGTAAACATTTCTTCCACCACATCCCCTGAACTCCAGCCTCAATGACGACAATATCGGGGTTGCAGTCAAAATTATGAGTATCGGACGGCTGTTTTCCGTTTTTACTTTGGGGAAAACCACAATCGACGGACGGATTGAAGGTCAGGTGAGTGTACGGGACGAGACTCTAGCGAGTTGATGTCATCAGCATCGACAATTCCATGAGCCTTCTGATGCTGACATGGCAGGTATTTGGCCACTTTTCCTGTGGTCATGGAAGTTACAGGTCTCCCCCACCATTCTTTTGGCGCCACGTGACCAGCAGCTCCAAACGAGTACTCCAGGGGGGAGATTTGAGCTGGTAACGCAAGTTGTGCACCTCTACTGCAAATAACGTATACTAATGGTAAAGGGGAAGGGGGGAGGCATGAAGTGTACATTTGTGATTCAAACGAAATTGTACTGCAAGAAATGTTGAAGTTGCGCACAGCCCCACCGCCATACTGGAACAGTCTGTCCATCGATGTCAGAAGCCCTACCACCACAGCTAGGACGGCGGTTGGTAGTCATAGATAAGCAACTAAAGAAACTAGATACCTGTGAATGTTTTCTAAATCGCGAAACGCGTCACGTGTTTCCTCGAGTGCGTGACATCGCCGCTTTCTTCCTTCGACACCGCAGCCGCCGCTCCTTTGCCACCTTTCCATTCCACCTTCGCCCTCCACAATCCCTGCACGTTCGACAACCATGAATCCCGGAGGATACAGCGGCGGATTTGGCCCGCCGCCCGGCCTACCCGATATTCCCGGCGGCGTGGCTCCGTGGGCTTTTTCGGGACCTCCGACGCAGCCTGGAAGCGCGCCGAGCCAACGGGTTCCTGGAAACCTCGTTCCGCTACCGAAAGTCCTTTCCGTGCCAGTATTGGATCCGCCGTATCGGTTTTGTATTCCCCAGAAACGAATCGCTTCTACCGGGGATACTCAGGCGTTTCTAGAGGGCGAATCCGGGAGGTGGTTTTTAGGTTTCATCGTAGGGCTTAGCGAGTCCATCCAAGGGAAGAAGGTCTCAGATCCGTGCCACGTGTCGCCGACGTGTCAGAAGATTGTCGACTTTCTCGAGACTCTGATTTCGTGGGTTGACGAAATTCCGCCAAGCGAAACCCTGCTTCGGTACGGTAACCCTGCTTACCGAACCTGGCAGGACCGGTTACAGGAACGGGGCCCGAGCCTCGTGGCAGACTCAATCTTCCCGGAGAATCTGAAAGCAGCTGTGGGGGAGACGTTTCCGTACCTAGCGGACAGCTTCGGCAACTGGACTAGGATCGATTTCGGTACGGGTCACGAGACTAACTTCGCGGCTTGGCTGATGTGCCTAGTGCGGCTCGGCCTCCTAGTCCCTGACGACTATCAGGCTTTAGTTTCCCACGTATTCGTTAAGTACCTCGAATTAATGCGGAAGCTGCAGCTGACTTACTGGTTAGAACCGGCTGGGTCGCATGGGGTATGGGGTCTCGACGACTACCATTTCCTGCCGTTTATTTTCGGCTCGTCGCAACTAATCGGCCATAAATACCTCCGTCCCAAGTCGATCCTAAATCCGGATATTCTGGAGAATTTTGCGGAGGAGTATCTGTATTTCTCCAGCGTGGTGTTCGTTAAGAAGGTAAAGAAGGGGCCTTTAGCGGAGCACTCTCCCATGATAAACGATATAAGCGGTGTGCCGAATTGGAACAAAGTGAACAGTGGGATGCTCAAGATGTACAGAGCGGAAGTGTTAGAGAAGGTGCCTATAATGCAGCACTTTCTGTTCGGGTCCCTTATTCCTTGGCCGGGGAAGGCAGGTGAGAAGAGGGGAATGGGGGGAGGGGGAGAAGCAGCAAGGGGAGTTGGGAGGCAAGCAACTGGAGCAGGAGCAGGTGTAACAGGAGCAGGTGTAACAGGAGCAGGTGTACCAGGAGCAGCTGTAACAGGGGCAGCTGTAACAGGGGCAGCTGTAACAGGGGCAGCTGGAATGGAAGCTGTGGCAACAGGGGCTGCTGTAACAGGAGCTGGTGTAACAGGAGCAGATGTGACATCAAGAGTATGAGGGGGAGGGGATGAAAATGCTGGGGACAAAGCTTCTAGGGGTATTATGGCTGAGGCATTCAGAAGCAGCTACTCACAGCGATGCAATACCGAGAAGAACTTCCAGCACTGATGTAGCATAGCTCGTTCTCGATCTCTAACTCTTTACTTGTCTTTCCCATTGTACCTCCAAGGAAGTCTGAACCACGTCTTACACCACTTGTATTGGATATGCTTACATAGTATTCACTTTGTATTGGATATGCTTACATAGTATTCACTTTGGTCTAGCAGTCCTGAATTTGCCATGGATTGTTCCTATACAGGCGCACCGCGCAAAATGGGAATGCGAATTGTAAGGTGGACGGCTTGCTGCCACGAGCTTGTCTTCTCCTCAAACGAAGCAAAGCATTCGCGCTGCTACCTGTCCTCGGTGTTCCCGAGGGGTCGACCAGATCTGCCTCTATCCCTTTGAGGGTGGCGTTTGAGGGCCCTCAAAGGAGCAGGTCCGTCCGTCGCGTATTGGAACTTGGAATCAGCAGCTGCCATTGAAGAGCCGTACTACTGTAGAGATTTCGTAAGGCAAGGGGCCAGGCAGGACCCAGCGTCGTCGCTTGCTAAGGGCGTGTCTTGTCCAACTGGTACGTTTACTTTTCGTGAATCACACGGTTCAGTACGGTACCACAAAATCGAGAACGTTTCTTGCACTTCACCGCTTTGAAACATTCTACACCTGTCCAAACCGTACGAAGTGAGCTGTAAAGTACGAGCTGGAAACGCCCTGGGGCCATTACAGGACACATGATTGTACTGCACAGCGATGGCTTTTTGAATTGCATAGCAACCCTTGATGGTCGTTTTCGTCGTTATCCATCCACAAGTCATGGATGATCGCTGGCTAAAGCTTTTCGGCGGCCACCACCAGCCATCACGAGTCATGGCCTTCGTGGCGACTTATGGCCCGCTGGCCTCTTTTGAGCCAAAGGAAAACGACTCTTAGAATTGACTAAAACGAAGGCACCAGCCATGAGGCGCGAAAAGGAGGTGGATGAAAATGTCATTTTCTTTCGTGTCATCTTCCCAGGAGTCCTCGATCCCTTTTCCTCAAGCGTTCTCGCCAGTGTCTTCCAGACACCTCTCTATGGTGAAATGAGAACGAGGTACTACGATGTTCTACCAGTACTAGGTAGTGGTACTTCCTTACTCACAAGAACGCCAAGCAGATCTTCCTTACTCCGACCTACAAGGTCTTTTCACCAGCGTTGACGGCGCCGAGCCGCCAATTTCCGTAAACTCCCGACCTTTGAGTCGACTCGAAAGTCATTTCCGTAAACTCCCGACCTTCTCCGCGCACGCATTGCTTTTGAGGCGCCTTAGTAGCACGCATTGCTTTTGAGGCGCCTTAGTAGCACGTATTGCTTTGAGGCGCCTTAGTAGCACGATTAAGCTGCCGCGGAGCGTCCGCCGAGTACCTGGATATGTAAGGAGATTGGACAATCCGGACTGCGGGTTTTAAGCCATCACGGACTTCAGGTGGGATCTCCCATCCAGTGACAGATTGAATTGCCCGACCGGTTTCCGCGTTGAAGGCGGCGGCATTTGACACAGTCACGCCTCGTTACTGTCACGGCACCATGGGTTCTAACGGAGACGATCATGTCGGGGATGAGGCGTCCGGGAGCCGACATGGCTGCGAGATGGGAGTGATTTTCAAAGCTTCGCGAGAGTTTGAGAATGTTGAGAGACTCGAACAGCAGGGAGCCACGCAGCAGCGAGTCGCCATTCCACCCGATTCCCTTAAAGCCGAACTCGCCGACGCCTTCGCTCCGATTAAGTCGCTCCTGGATATTGACGACGACGACGACGACCATGGCCCTTCGCGCGAATTCCGGAGCGGATCTCATTTGGAACGCGCCAGACGCGCTCTCTTCCACGTGTTCCCGATCTGCCAGTGGCTGCCGGAGTACCAGCTGACGTGGCTCTTGGGTGACGTGGTGGCTGGAATCACCATCACCAGCCTCGCTATACCTCAGGTCAGTCAGACGGCTAGCCGTTTTGTCAGACGCCGACCGTTTGGTAAGACGCTGACCACTTTGGGAGATTCTGGTGATTATTTGGCCGGACTTTGAACTGCCACTTGTTAGGTGTGTTGTTTGACCACCTTCCCTCATCCTACCTCCTTAACGGACTTAGGATGCGGCCCACCCGCCCTCCTTCCCCTCTTCCCCTCTGGCCGGCATACCGTCCTCGGATCATTGGCCTCTATACGCCCTCCCAACCAACCACCTCCCTCCCCCCCCTCTGCCCTCCCAACCACCTCCTTCCCCCCGCTCTTCCCTCCTGACCACCTCCCTCCCCCCGCTCTGCCCTCCTCCTGACCTCCTCCCTCCCCCCGCTCTGCCCTCCTGACCTCCTCCCTCCCCCGATCAGATGACCTGGAGAGGGCCCCTCTTCCAATCGCCGTCCTTTGGCACCCAGAGATCGGTGTAAGCCATTCCCGCCCAACTGGCACTCCGTCCTCCCTTCACTTCTCTGCTCATCCGCCCACCTCCCCCTCCCCTTCCCTCCCCTCCCTTCCCCTTCCCCCCCCTTCCTCTTTGCCTATCCCTCCCCCACATGTCCCCCCCTCCCCTCCTCTCTCCAGGACCTACGCTCAACTGGCACACGTTCCTCCAATCTCGCCCTCCCCCACATCCCTGCCCCACATCCCTCCGCCTCACCCTTCCCCCACGTGTCCCCCCTACCCCTCCCCGTTCCAGGACTTGGGCTACGCTCAACTGGCGCACGTCCCTCCCATCAACGGCCTCTGTACGTTGCTCCCTCACTTCTCCCTCACACGTTACTCCCTCACTTCTCCCTCACACGTTACTCCCTCACTTCTCCCTCACACGTTACTCCCTCACTTCTCCCTCACACTTACTCTCCCTCACACGTTACTCCCTCACTTCTCCCTCACACGTTACTCCCTCACTTCTCCCTCACACGTTACTCCCTCACTTCTCCCTCACACGTTACTCCCTCACTTCTCCCTCACACGTTACTCCCTCACTTCTCCCTCACACGTTACTCCCTCACTTCTCCCTCACACGTTACTCCCTCACTTCTCCCTCACACGTTACTCCCTCACTTCTCCCTCACACGTTACTCCCTCACTTCTCCCTCACACGTTGCTCCCTCACTTCTCCCTCACACGTTACTCCCTCACTTCTCCCTCACACGTTGCTCCCTCACTTCTCCCTCACACGTTACTCCCTCACTTCTCCCTCACACGTTACTCCCTCACTTCTCCCTCATGTTCCTGACTCGTCTCCAGGGTCTAGTTTCCTAAAACAACCCACTCCCCTCCCACCCGACCCCCAACCCCCAACCCCAATCCCAACCCCAACCCCAACCCCAACCCACCCACCCAGATGGCAGCTTCATCCTCCCCCTCCCCCCCCCCCCCTCCCCCCGGCCCACCCCCACCCAGCAGTGTACGCCCTATTCGGCACGTCTCGCCACATGGCCATCGCGCCAGTGGCCATCGTCTCGCTGCTCATGGGCGAGCTGCTCTCGAACCATTACAAACCCGACACCCAACCCACCCCGTGCCTCCATCTCGCCTTCACATCCCCATTACCCCTCTCCTACTCCCCGCCCCACCAGACGGCAGCTTCATCCCCCCTGCAGTGTACGCGCTATTCGGCACGTCTCGCCACATGGCCATTGCGCCAGTGGCCATCGTCTCGCTGCTCATGGGCGAGCTGCTCTCGAACCACTACAACCCCGACACCCAGCCCACCCCGTACCTCCATCTCGCCTTCACCGCCACCTTCTTCGCGGGGGTTTTCCAGCTGGCGATGGGGCTCCTGCGGCTGGGGTTTATCGTGGATCTGCTGTGCCACCCCGTGGTGGTGGGGTTTATGGCCGGGGCGGCGGTGACCATTGGGCTGCAGCAGCTGAAGGGGCTGCTGGGATATGCCACGTTCAGCACCAAGGCGAATGTGCAGTCCGTGCTGGGATACGTCTTCAGCAACACAGACCTGGTGAGTGGCTCGTGATAGGGGCAAGGTGCATATTGAGTCGACTCAAGGTACAGCTGAGGGGGCTGCTGGGATATGCCACGTTCAGCACCAAGGCGAATGTGCAGTCCGTGCTGGGATACGTCTTCAGCAACACAGACCTGGTCAGTGGCTCGTGATAGGGGCAAGGTGCATATTGAGTTGACTCAAGGTACAGCTGAGGGGGCTGCTGGGATATGCCACGTTCAGCACCAAGGCGAATGTGCAGTCCGTGCTGGGATACGTCTTCAGCAACACAGACCTGGTCAGTGGCTGGGAATAGGGGCAAGGTGTAGAGTCGACTCAAGGTACAGCTGAAGGTGCTGCTGGGATATGCCACGTTTAGCAACAAGGCAAATGTGCAGTCCGTGCTGGGATACGTCTTCAGCAACACAGACCTGGTCAGTGGCTGGGAATAGGGGCAAGGTGTAGAGTCGACTCAAGGTACAGCTGAAGGTGCTGCTGGGATATGCCACGTTTAGCAACAAGGCAAATGTGCAGTCCGTGCTGGGATACGTCTTCAGCAACACAGACCTGGTCAGTGGCTGGGAATAGGGGCAAGGTGTAGAGTCGACTCAAGGTACAGCTGAAGGTGCTGCTGGGATATGCCACGTTTAGCAACAAGGCAAATGTGCAGTCCGTGCTGGGATACGTCTTCAGCAACACAGACCTGGTCAGTGGCTGGGAATAGGGGCAAGGTGTAGAGTCGACTCAAGGTACAGCTGAAGGTGCTGCTGGGATATGCCACGTTTAGCAACAAGGCAAATGTGCAGTCCGTGCTGGGATACGTCTTCAGCAACACAGACCTGGTGAGTGGCTCGTGATAGGGGCAAGGTGCATATTGAGTTGACTCAAGGTACAGCTGAGGGGGCAGCTGGGATATGCCACGTTCAGCACCAAGGCGAATGTGCAGTCCGTCCTGGGATACCTCTTCAGCAACACAAACCTGGGGAGCGGACTTTTGAGTCGACTCAAAAGACATATCTTTTCAAAGGCCAGTGTGCAGGCCGTGCCGGGGTGTGCGCAACACAGACCTGGTGAGTGGGTTGGGATAGGGGAGGGCCACGGCTGTCTGGCAAGCGAGGTGAGAAGTGATTTGAGTCGACACAGTGGAACCACTACTCAAGTCAGCCTTTTGAGTTGACTCAAAAGTCACCTCGTTACAATGTCACTTGGCTGGCTCGTGACAGGGACAAGCCTGGCAAGCGAGGTGAGATGTGATGTGAGTTGACTCAGCTTAACCACCACTCAAGGCAGCCTTTTGAGTCGACTCAGCGTCACCACTACTCAAGGCAGCCTTGGATGTGCTCCTTCTCCTCCCTTCCCTATCTTTCCTCCCACTTCTCCCTCTCTTCCTCTCTTTCTCTCTCCCTCTCTTCCTCTCTCCCTCTTCTCCCTCTCTCACTCTTTTCCCCGTGCAGTTCAACTGGCGTGCGTTTGTCATCGGTGTCTCTGTGCTCCTATTCCTTCTCTCGCTCCGCTTTCTGGTATGCAGTGCCTCCATTGATGTCCTTTAGCGCCTCCACTTAAGTCCTTTAGTGCCTCCACTGATGTCCTTTAGCGCCTCCACTTAAGTCCTTTAGTGCCTCCACTGATGTCCTTTAGCGCCTCCACTTAAGTCCTTTAGTGCCTCCACTGATGTCCTTTAGTGCCTCCACTTAAGTCCTTTAGCCTCCACTTGTGCCTCCACGTGTGCCTCCACGTGTGCCTCCACGTGTGCCTCCACGTGTGCCTCCACGTGTGCCTCCACGTGTGCCTCCACGTGTGCCTCCACGTGTGCCTCCACGTGTGCCTCCACGTGTGCATCCTTCAGTCCTTTTCCGAGTCTCCTACAAGCTGTGCCTCTCGATCAGCCCGTTCTCCCCCCCCTCCGCCCCTCTCCCTTGTCAAGCTTTTCGTAGATTCAGAAAGGGCTTTTTTCATCATCCCACCCCGAACCACGTTAGTTTGAAACCACTCACATAAATTTCTTTTGGCCCATGCAAGCCTTCCAGTACCTGAGTGTTCCTTGGCACACTGTCTAATGCCAAAACTGTTTTTTCTAGACAACAACCCTGGCGTACCCGCAGTGTCCCCAGCGGCACATATTTCTGGCCTACCCCGTCTCTTCTACACCTATCCTCCCTCACTGAGTCACCCTCGTCCGTCCCACTTCCTTCGCCCCTATACTCCTCTACTGCTAAGTCCCTTCAGCTCCTTAGTTTCCTCTCCCCTATACTCCCCCCCTCCCCCCGTGTCCAATATCCCCCCATCTCCCCCCGTTCCCCCGTGTCCAATATCCCCATCCCCTTCTCCCCCTCCCCCCCCCCCCCCCCCGTGCCCAATACCCCTGTCCCCCCGACTGTACAGGCGCACCGCTTCAAGCCCCACCCCAGGCTGGGCAAGCCCCTCTTCTACCTCAACTGCCTGGGCCCACTTCTCTCCGTATTCGCCACCTCCCTCGCCGTCTACCTCCTAGGGGGGGGCAACAAACTCCCTTACAACATCCCCACGGTTAAGGCCATGCCAGCTGGCCTCTCCTCGTTCGGCTCGCTGACTCAGCTCCAGCTGTCAGGCCCTGATTGCGCGGTTGCAGCATCCATCGGGGTTGTCGCGGCGCTGATATCGCTGGCCGAAGCCACGGCGATATCACGCATGTTTGCCACTTTGGAGGGTTACGCGGTGGATGGTAACCGCGAGATGGTGGCGCTGGGAATGGCTAATATCGGTGGCTCGGTTGCGTCGACTTACGTGGTCACGGGGTCGTTTTCTCGCTCCGCGGTTAATTACTCGTCCGGGGGGCGAACTGCACTGACGAACGTGATAATGTCACTGCTCGTTTTAATCACGCTCGTTGCAGTCACGCCCGCGTTTCAGTACCTCCCGACAGCCACCCTGTCTGCAATTATCATAGTTGCCGTAGCAGGGTTGGTGGATTTTAGAGCCATCGCACTCATATTTAAGACTGACAAGGTTGATTTCCTCATCACCTTGGCAACTTCCCTCGGTATCCTCTTTGTCTCGATGGAAATCGGACTCCTTATAGGCGTTCTCGTTTCAGTGCTCAAGTTCCTGGTGCAGGCGTCTCGTCCGAAGCTACCCACCCTGGGGCTTATAAAGGGTATGGGGGTGTACCGAAGTGTGGAGCAGTATCCCGACGCAGAGGCCGCTGAGGGCGTGTGGGTGTTGAGGGTCGACGGGCCACTGCTCTTCCCTGGTGCGACCTGTGTGCGGCAGCGAGTTCTAAGAACAGTGGAGAGAAGGGCAAGCAGCAGCAACGAGACGGCAATCACGGTGAGTGTAGGTGTAGTTGTGGCCGTGTGGGTCGCTGAGGGCGTGTGGGTGTTGATTGTTGACGGAGCGCTGCTCGTCCCTGGTGCAACCTGTGTGCGGCAGTGGGTGCTGCGGGCCGTGGGGAGAAGGGCATGCAGTGGCAGTGTCTCGGCACTCACGGTGGGGGTGGGTGGGCTTGGTGGGCGTAGGTGTGGGTGTGGGTGTTGAGGGTTGACGGGCCGCTGCTCTTCCCTGGTGCAAGCTGTGTGTGGCAGTGGGTGCTGCGAGCAGTGGAGAGCAGGGCGTGCAGTAGCAACGAGACGGCAATCGCGGTGAGGGTGGGTGGCGGTGTGGCTTGATGGTTGTGGCTGTGGCTGTGTGACTGTGGCTGTGAGTGTTGAGGGTTAAACGGCTGCTGCTCGTCCCTACAGCGGTTGCTTTGTGATATGCATAGAGGCTTAGCTCCCATCCATCTCACTTACCTTGGTTTTTGAGAATTCTCAAAAACCAACTCAACTTCATGTTACAAACAATGCGGCTTTTTAGAGGGGGGAACGTAACATGCGTAGGGGCTTTGCACCCATCCATCTCTCTTACCTTCACCTACCGTTTTCCCCAACCCCTCCCTCCCCCTCTCTCCCCTCCCCCATCCACTCCCCCCCCCCCCTATCTCCTCTCCCCCCCTCTCTCTCGCTCCTGGCATTCTTCTTTCCCTTGGCGCTGGATGCAGCATGCGGTGTTGGACTGCACGTCTGTCTCAGACGTTCACACAACAGCAATCCACACTCTAGGGGACATGCAGGGTGTATTTTGTGTCGACTCAAATCACACCTTTCCCTAACCTTTTTTCCCCAACGCCTCCCTCCGCCTCTGCATTCTTCCCTCCCTTCTCACTGCATGCAGCATGTGGTGCTGGACTGCACCTCTGTATCAGACATCGACACAACAGCCATCCACGCTCTGGGGGACATGCTGGGTCTGTTACACAGGCGCGGCGCCCAACTGGCGCTCAGCAACCCCTCCTCCACAGTGCTAAGGAAGCTGGCCCTCTCGGGCTTCCTGCAGGAGATGGGGGAAGAGTGGCTGTTTTTGTCTGCTAGTGAAGCTGTGGAGGTGTGCCAATCAGGTGCAAAGAACGGAGGGGTGTAGTTGTAAGGGCCACATGCACGTTCTAGAGGACGTTACTCAGGCGCGGCGGCGCCCAACTGGCACTGAGCCCAGCTGGCGTTGAGCAACCCGTCCACCACCGTGCTAAGGAAGTTGGCTCTCTCGGGTTTCCTGCAGGAGCTGGGGGAAGAGTGGTTGTTTTTGTCTGCTAGTGAAGCCGTGGCGTGGCGGTCTGCCAATCGGGCACAAAGGACGGAGGGGTATGGTAATAGTTTAGAGCATCAGCCCCCAACAAGAAACCCTATTTTTTTCCCCACCGTTTCTGAGTGTGCAATGCAAGGGTTGTCAAACATGTCTATTTGTTATGTTTGTATAGACTGTATAGGGTAGCCTCTTAGAGGGTACAACACTTAGCTATATTGTGTGTACTCTCTCTCTATCACAATCACTTGAATTTCTGATATGGTATCACGCGTAGGTAGGATCCCCCCCCCACCTACCGCTTCCGCTCGCCCCCCTAGCCCCGTCGCGACCCCCTCTAGCCCCGTCGCGCCCCTTCCTGGGCCCCGTAGCGCCCCTCTTGGGCCCCGTAGCGCCCCTCCTGGGCCCCGTCGCGCCCTTTCTGGGCCCTGTAGCGCCCCTCCTGGGCTCTGTCGCGCCCCTCCCAGACCCTGTCGCGCCCCTCCTGGGTCCCGTCGCGCCCCTCCCAGGCCCCGTAGCGCCCCTCCTGGGACCCGTCGCGCCTCTCCTGGGCCCCGTAGCGCCCCTCCTGGGCCCCGTCGCGCCCCTCCCAGGCCCCGTCGCGCCCCTCCTGGGCCCCGTCGCGCCCCTCCCAGGCCCCGTCGCGCCCCTCCTGGGCCCCGTCGCGCCCCTCCCAGGCCCCGTAGCGCCCCTCCTGGGTCCCGTCGCGCCCCTCCCTGGCCCCGTAGCGCCCCTCCTGGGTCCCGTCGCGCCCCTCCCAGGCCCCGTAGCGCCCCTCCTGGGTCCCGTCGCGCCCCTCCCAGGCCCCGTAGCGCCCCTCCTGGGACCCGTCGCGCCCCTCCTGGGCCCCGTAGCGCCCCTCCTGGGCCCGTCGCGCCCCCAGGCCCCGTCGCGCCCCTCCCAGGCCCCGTCGCGCCCCCTCCTGGGCCCTGTAGCGCCCCTCCTGGGCCCTGTCGCGCCCCCTCCTGGGCCCCTGCAGCGCCCCTCCTGGGCCCCCCGTCGCGCTCGCACCAGCCCGGCCCCGTCGCCCAAGCCCGGCCCCGTCCTGCTCGCCCGGCCCCGTCGCAGCCGCCCGGCCCCGTCGCATCAGCCCGGCCCCGTCGCGCCCGCCCGGCCCCGTCGCACTGGCCCGGCCCTGTCGCCCTCGCCTGGCCTAGTCGCCCCTGCCCGGCCCCGTCACGCTCGCCCGGCCCCGTCGCCCCGGCCCGGCCCTGTCGCACCAGCCCGGCCTTGTCGCGCCCGCCCGGCCCCGTCGCGCCCGCCCGGCCCCGTCGTCCGCGCCCGGCCCGGTCGCACCTGCCCAGCCCCGCTGCCCCGGCCCCGTCCTCCTCACTGGTACGGTTCCCCCCCACCCCGCCCAACACCGCACTGCACCGCACTGTACCGCACTGCACCGCACTGTACCGCACTGCATTGCACTGTACCGCACTGCACCGCACTGCACTGCACTGTACCGCACTGCACTGCACTGCACCGCCCTGCACCGCCCTGGACTGTTCCTAATGGCGGCGGAGCTTCGCTTCGACGCTGAAGGTCAGCCCCTAGAGTTCGAGGCGTGGCTTGCCGACCTCCGCCGCCAACTCACTGGCCAGCGGCAGGATGGTGAACCGCTTTCCGCACACCTTGACGGTACGCTCCCCTGCCCAGACCCTCCTGCTATTCTGCCCGCTGACCCCACACCCACTGAGCAAGAGTCTACTGCTGCCACTGCCCGTGCGCGCTCTGTCTGGCTTTCTCGCGAAGCTGTCGCCCAGCTTGCCATTAGCAACGCCCTCCCCCCGTCCGAGCGTCCTCGCTTTAGGTCCCTCACTACTGCTCAGGCATACTTAGATGCTGTCATCAAGCGCTATTCCACCCCTCCGGCTGCCTCGGTGGATCGCCTGATCCTCCCGCTGCTCTTTCCTGACCTTGCTTCTTTCCCCACTGTCTCTGACCTCGCTGCCCACCTGCGCTCGATAGAGGAGACCTGGCGCGCTGCCTGCACTGACGCCCAGCTTAGAGCCCACCAGCCGCCCATTACCTCTACCCTCTACCTGCTTGCCACCCGCCTCCCTGACCGCCTTGCTGTCGCCCGCGACCGCTTCCTTAGTGTTCACCCCGCAGACCTCACCCTCACTGACTTTGTCGACACCCTGACTGTGATAGAGACCCGTCACCGCTCCATCGCCCAGGCGAGCGGTGTCGTGCCGGTCCCTATCTTTCAGGGTTGTGCCCCCGCTCAGTGCACCTTCTCCGACGGCTCTGCCGCAGTGGCTGAGACTGCTGCTGCAGCGCAGGCCCGTTCTGGGAAGGGCCGCCGCCCCAAGGTTGGGCGCGGCGGAGGGGGCGGCGGGGGTGCGGGCGGGGGTAGTGGTGGGGTCGGGTCGCCTGGTGCTGGAGCGGACGAGGGGACCCTGCCCAGTCCAGCTGAGCCGCCGCCCCTGCAGTTGCAGCAGCCGCAGCAGTCGCAGCCTTTGCAGCAGCCGCAGCAGCCGACGCAGACGCGGCAGACGAGTGTTCTCCCGCCAGGGTGGCCCGGCGCTGGCGGTGGACGGGCGCGTGGTGGTGTGCCGCGTGGTGGCTCTGCCGGCGGGCGTTGTCAGTACCAGATCCAGACCGGTCCTCGCCGCGGCTTCGTTTGCGGTAAGATCGGTCACTCCACTCCCCGCTGTTTTCGTCGCCTGGACGACCTCTTTCGTCAGCGCTTCGGCCCGTCGCCAGACCTCCCGGACTGGCACAGTTTGCTTAGTCGTCAGATTCAGATCTTTGATATGGACATGGATGCCATTGTTTCTGCTCTGCATGTGATGTATGCTGATGTCTCTAGTGTGCTTCCCGCTTATTACTCACTGTTGCCTAGTGTAGGTGTGCCTAGCTTAGCCTCCCCTGCTGCGTCAGGCGTAGGACCCCCTGCTTTGTGTAGTCTTGGTGCTTCTGCCGTCGTTCCGTCGCCAGACCCCTCGGCTTCGCTTTCCTTCACCTTGGACTCTGGCGCCTCTCAGTGTTTCTTCCGCGACTCCACCACCCTGACGCCACTTCCTGTTCCTACTGCCGTTTCTCTTGCTGACCCCTCCGGCGGTCCGGTAGTCGCCCGCAGTTCCACCACCCTTCCCTGTCCGGCAGTTCCTTCGGGCTCTCTTACAGGTCTGCATATCCCCTCGTTCTCCAGGAACCTAGTTGGTGTCGGCTGCCTCCAGGACCTTGGCGTCACCACTACGTTCCCTGGTCACGAGCGGTATGCTGTCTGTACCGAGGCCGCCACTGGTGCCCCCCTCTCCACGTTCCCCCGGGACCCGGTGTCCGGCCTGTTCACTCTGGACACCGTGCCCCCCCCGGCTGGAGCGCCCCCTCAGGTGGCTGTGTCTACCCAGGTTGCTGCTGCCTGCTCCTGTCGCTCCCTCACTCACCCGACCCTCCTGTGGCACCACCGCCTAGGTCACCCTGCGCTCCCTCGTCTGCGTCACATGTCCCAGCACGGTCTTGTCCTTGGTCTCCCAGGTTCCCTCCCCGCGTTTCCCTCCTCCCCAGCTCCACCTTGCACGCCTTGTGTCGAGGGTCGGCTTCGCCGTGCCCCTCACTCCTCCTCGTTCCCCCCTACCGCCGCGCCGCTGCAGACCCTGCACCTGGACGTCTGGGGCCCCGCCCCCGTCCCTGGGCCGCATCGCGAGCGCTACTTCCTTGTGCTTGTCGACGACTTCACTCGTTACACCACAGTCTTTCCCCTGGAGCGCAAGGCTGACGTGCCTAACGCCCTCATCCCCTGGCTTGTCTCTGCGCGTGTCCACCGCGGTCTCCCTGTCTTGCGTCTTCACTCAGACCGTGGTGGCGAGTTTGCCTCAGGTGTCCTTGGTCGCTTTTGTCGTGCGGAGGGCATCACCCAGACGTTCACCCTACCGGACTCCCCACAGCAGAATGGGGTCGCCGAGCGACGCATCGGTTTGGTCATGGAGGTTGCTCGCACCTCCATGGTCCATGCCGGTGCACCCCATTTTCTGTGGCCGTTCGCAGTGCGCTACGCTTCTCACCAGCTTAACCTGTGGCCGCACCCTCAGCAGCCGCAGGTTTCGCCGACCCGTCTTTGGACTGGGTCTCCTGGTGACGCGTCTGCGTTCCACGTCTGGGGCTGCCTTGCTCACGTCCGTGCCTCCGGCACGGACAAGCTCACTACCCGCACCCTTCCCTGCGTCTTCCTTGGTTTTCCCCTTGACGCGTCCGACTGGCACTTTTACCACCCGCCGTCTCACCGCTTCTTTCACTCTCGTGACGTCACCTTTGACGAGTCCGTCTCCTACTACCGCCGCTTCCCCCACCGTGGTCCCCCGGTTACCCCCCCCCTGTTCCTGGTCACCCCTTCCCCGGTAGTCCCTGCCCCTCCTCCTCCTCCTCCCCGTCCCGCCCCCTCTGGTGTCTCCCACGTCACCCCCCTTCCGTCCGTGGACCTGGTTGAGGAGTCTTCTGACTCTGGTGGCCCTCCGGTGCAGTCCTCGCCGGCCGCCCCTCCCCAGGTGTCCCCTCCCCAGTCCCCTCCTCCGCCGCCCCTGCCGCCGCTGCAGCCATCGCCGTCGCCGCCGCCGTCGCAGCCCCCGTTCGCTGACTCTGGGGGTGCTCGTCCCGGTCGCCCTAAGGGTGGTCCCTCTGGGGGTGCGGGTGTGGAGAGTGCCGGTGGTAGCCGAGGAGCAGCTTGCGGTCCAGGTGTCGCCGTTGTGCCGCCGCAGCAGCAGTCCCCACCGGTGTCCGCCCTTCGCCTGCTCGGCCTTCCGTCCCCCGACCCTGCGTCGGTTCCTCCCCGACCGTCTCCTCCTCTTCCTGTCTACGGCCCTTGTTTCCCTCCGCCGGACTCATCCCCGGCCCGTCTTCCCCCTCGTTCCCCTCCTGTGTCCCCTCCCCTGTCTCCTGACCCGACTCCTCCGTCGCACGTCTGGTCTCACTGTCCCTCCCGTGCTCGTCCTGCCTCGCCTGTCTTGCGCTCCCACCCTATGTTGCTTCGTTCCCACGCGTCTCGTCCTCCCCTTCTGCCGTCGCCTCCTCCGTCCTCCCTTGTTGTCGCGCCCCCCCCGCTGTGCGACTACCTTCGTGCCGCTCGTCCTCTCGTTCCTCGGGTCCTTGCCTCTCTCGTTACCGACCCGTCTGTTCCGGTCTCGTGCCTTGACGCCCTTGTCGCTGCTGTCGCTGACTTCGCCTCTACCCGCCGCCTTGACTACGCCACCGCTCTGGTCTCTGACCCTGCCTGTCCTCAGTCTATCGGGGGTGGTTCTGCCCT